TTTTTTTTGTATTATTCAAGATCATGTGCATCTGAGCTCTTCATTTGACAGCAACTCTTTATATCATAAGATAACATTATAAAGATTTTTATGTTCTTCTTTTACTGGATATATCTCGTGAAACATTTTCAATATATTCTTGTAAGGATAACGTTTTGCACCATTTTACCAAATTTATGTATGACAGTTCGCCATGGGGTTGAATATGCCTGCAAAAACTGTTGTTTTCACAAGTGTCAAAAAATGGGATGGTGATAGTCATCGTTATATTGGATCTGGTGAGTACATCCAGGTGAGTAGATTTTTTTCTGCTTGAAGTTGTGTATAATATCTGATTTGCTTATATAATTGTTGACTTATATGCTTGTGTTGCAGATGAGTGGTAGAGCTGGGCGTCGTGGTAAAGATGAGCGGGGTATTTGTATTATAATGGTTGACGATAAAGTAAGATCAATGCTTCCTCTTTTCTTTCTTTCTCTCACTTGTTTATTTTCTTAAACATTAGGCTGCCCTGGATGGTTTATTTTATGTATCCATTTGGTCGTGATCCATGTTCCTTAGAAATTAGCATACGGGACAATATTTCGTACGTCAATCACACTTTCATAGTTTACCTTAACTTTTATTACCGTCTTAATGTTAAAAAGTTGTATAATACACGAAAATTTAGAAAGGCCACATGCCAGATAATATGCAACCAAATGGATCACTTCCACTTCTGTAGTAATGCACTGGACTATATGTTGGTGAAGATTGTGCGACATTTTGCAACTTGCAAGTCTAAGAATTACGCAAGTATGGAACTATGTCTAGTTTCATCATATGCAATTTTCTTTGTCCTCATGCTAATACGAACACTCTTATTATTGGGAAAGGCAGAATAAAGTAAAATCATATAAAAATTATCTAAAAGATAGGTTCACGTGGAATGGTTTGGCGAAAAGAGGCATAACTGAACCCTATATTAAGAAGACTGCTACTTCATTTTAAATATAACAGAAGTACACCTTTAATCTACAGCCTATGAAATTGTCAGATTCCAAATATTTTTGGTAGTGTTCACCTGTAATTTAAAAATCTTTTCTTGTAATGGTTGTTTATTTTATTTGTTACCAGATGGAGATGAATACCCTTAAGGACATGGTTTTGGGCAGACCTGCACCATTGCTCAGTACTTTCAGGTTGAGCTACTACTCAATTCTGAATTTAATGAGTCGTGCCGAGGGACAATTTACAGCTGAGCATGTCATTAGAAATTCCTTCCATCAATTTCAGCATGAGAAGGTATAACCACTAAATTAGTTACAGTTGTGCTGATAGATTGGTCGCAATAGTGAGAGAATTAACTTCTGCTTCTTCAGACATTACCTGAGATTGCAAAAAAGGTGGCACTGCTCGAAGAGGAAGCTGCTGTACTTGATGCTTCTGGGGAGGTACAGCTGTGTTTCTCTTTAAACTTGAAATAAATTGTTGCTGAAGTTTATATTAAAATGAAAAATTTCACTGTTCCTACTGCCAGGCTGAGGTTGCCGAATACCACAAACTTAAACTTGAGATTGCTGAACTTGAAAAGAAAGTGATGGCTGAAATAACACAGCCTGAAAGAGTTCTCTCATTCCTTCAACCTGGTAGACTGGTATGTGCCAAATTAGGTGTTGGCCGATATTGATTTTGCCACAGATTTGTACACATTGTATAATCACTCTTTTTGGGTGCCTCTGATTTGTAGCGTAGTCGTTCCTTCTCATTGTTATTATCCAAATTTTTTTCTTCTCCACTTGTTATATCTGTTATAGTGCTCTAGATGATGCTTCTGTTCGCAGTTTCAATGAGTGTGTCCACATTATTCTGTTATCTAGAGCAGCTTGAATGCTATACACTCCTAAAGTCCTAATTTCCATATTTCTAATATTACTTCGGTTGCATTGTGGTTTATCATTGTTTGCAATCTGTTTCCTTTACATTGTTTTATGTGATGCAACCTCTATCTCCTGAAAGGGTTGAGTGTTTCTTGACATATTCTTAGTTTTGCGCTGGATTTGAATTTATTGTCCGTCCATTATTAGCTCTCTGGGTCACTTCATTGTAGGTTAAGGTGAGGGAAGGTGGGATAGACTGGGGTTGGGGAGTTGTAGTAAATGTGGTAAAGAAAACCCCAGCTGCATCCAGTTCTTTGCCAGCTGCACTTGCTTCTTCACGAAGTAATAGCTTTATCGTGGATACCCTTCTTCACTGCTCCCTCGGCTCAATTGAAAACGGCTCTCAACCAAAACCTTGTCCTCCTCGTCCTGGAGAAAAAGGTCAAATGCATGTGGTGAGTTAAAATTTATAAAGGGAAAATGTTGCAGATCTTGTGTGTGTTTGTGTTACAGAAAAGCTTTGACTGCAGCTTACATCTATGATAGAGAGAATTATGCACTTTTCTGTTTGCCTCAGGTTCCTGTCCAGTTGCCTCTCCTTTCCGCTGTGAGCAAGCTGAGAATCTCTGTTCCTTCTGATTTGAGGCCAATGGAAGCTCGACAAGACGTTCTCACTGGTGTTCAGGAGCTTGAAAAGCGCTTTCCTCTAGGCCTTCCCAAGCTAGACCCTGCGAAGGTGTTTAGGGCTTGCTTGTTTATGGAATAATTTACTCACTTTTATTTCAATTCAAAATTGAACTCAACTTTAACTCAACCCCATTATCTTTAATATTATTCATATAATTAAATAATACAAACCAATCATTCTTACACATCACATCAACTTTAATTCACTATTCATCCACTCACATATTCTTAACTACTTATTATTTCTAATCATTTATCTCTTACGTTTACATCAAATCAATTTAAACATTTTATTTTATATATTATTTTAATACATTTTTTTAAATTCCACTAACAACTAATCATACTACCTTTTCAAAATTAACTATGATTAACCAAAATAACTCATTTTGAACAGATTATTTCATAAACAATCAAGGCCTTACTTTGTTGTATGATGCTCTGCTTATTGTTACCCTGAATTTACTGGATTTTTTTCGTGCTGATTTTTGTGTTTTGAAATGGTTATGCTGAAAGTGGCCGCCCTATAGTGGCCTAAATTGTATCTCACACTTCTGCGCTCGAAACAGTTGTCTTTACATACAAATTATTAGATTTTTCATGTGATTGATAATGTCTAGTCATATTTTTTAGAGCAGTGTCAGTACCAATGTTTTTGTGGACATGGTAGGTTTAGGTTTATTCATTTTATAGTTTTCGACCATGGTTGTGAAATTGGTGAGTGAACTTGAATATGTGTTGTACCCAAAACTAGAATGTTTGAGGTCAACACATGCAGTGGTGCTTGATTCACGAATTATAACTTGAGAATAAATGCATACAAGATGTTCGGGGAGATCAATAATACCGTCAATCTTTGATAGGTTGCTTTGCATTGTCACATTTGAAATTGAAACATATCACCGTCCTATCCTTATCCTTATTCAGTATTATTATGTTTGGGTTTTCCTTAACTTATTATATTTGACTGTATTGGTAATTGTATAATATTGTGCAATAGTTATCGGATATCCTCCAATTCATTCAAATCTATGTAGCAAACAGTTTTCATCATATATTATTTAATTTACGTTTCTCAGGATATGCAAATTAATGATCCAGAACTTGTTGAGATGGCTACCCAAATTGAGGGACTTGAACGGAAATTGTTTTCACATCCACTGCATAAGGTTGGCCAAAATTCATTTGTTCTGTAAATTTGGTATATTTTGCAGGAATTCGTTCTTATTTTATGCAGAGTTTTGTGGGTAGTAAATAAAGGACGCCAATCCACACCTAGATGTTTCTAATTCTTTTGTATATTGATAATTCTGCGCAGTCTCAAGATCAGCATCAGGTTAGCAGTTTCCAGAGGAAGGCAGAAGTCAATCATGAAATTCAACAACTAAAGTCAAAAATGCGAGACTCGCAGGTGCTTCTCTCTTTGTGCATATCTGCTACAAAAGCTGATTTCATTAGCTTTTTGCTGAAGTTTGACTATAACTATGATAAATGCACTGATTATTATGTTTTCGATTTATTGCTATATTTTACTTGCCTGGGTTTAATAATATTTGAGTCTTGTTTGGGCCTTCACATTGTTCTGATTGTCATCTTTTTCTTGTCTGTGATTTTGTATATATCTATCTCCTGGATTACCAAATATTCAAAAGCATTATATGTGATTTTAACAATATTCATTCATTCCTTGTTTATTTTCAGCTACAAAAATTTCGGGATGAACTTAAAAATCGCTCTCGTGTTCTCAAAAGACTTGGTCATATTGATGGTGATGGCGTTGTTCAGTTGAAAGGACGGGCAGCTTGCCTGATAGATACCGGGGATGAGCTACTTGTCACAGAATTGATGTTCAACGGTTAGCGTCCTACAATTTACATGTCAAAATGTATGCAAGTAATTTTGTATGCTCGCTGGGAGATGTTGCAGTTTCATTCATCATTCAGTTATATTGTTTTTAATTTTATTGTTGCAATAATTATTTGTTATATTCTGCTGAAATTCTTATATTCCTAAAATTTAAATTATTCTGTAACAGCCCTATCATATTTGAAATCAGTTAAGTAGAGCATACTATATTTACTAATATTGTGATATTTCATTTCAATAAATATGTGAAACAGGCACCTTCAATGATCTTGATCATCATCAAGTTGCATCTTTGGCGAGTTGCTTTATTCCTGGAGATAAATCGAGCGAACAGATACATCTAAGAGCCGAACTTGCTAAACCCCTGCAACAGCTTCAAGACAGTGCTAGACAAATAGCAGAGGTTTTCTAGCTTTGATTATAATGATATATCAATTTCCATAAATTATTTCTGCACTAATTAAGAGCTAGCACTCCTAAAAGGAAATATTTGCATTCGTTATAAGTGGCAACCGAGAAATATTATTTTGTTGCAGATACAACGGGAGTGTAAACTAGAAATCAATGTGGATGAATATGTTGAGGCGTCTGTTAGACCATTCTTGATGGATGTGATTTACTGTTGGTCAAAGGTTAGTTCATTGATTTTATCGCTTTGTAAGCCTGTCCCGTCAACAGGAAATAGCAAGCCAAGACAGCAAGTTATCTGATTTGAGACTTCATTTGGATGGAAGATTTAAAACGTAGAGGTTTCAATATCCTCGATAATAAGTGGGATAAGTTTGATTGATGGACACACAAGGAAGTTTGAATTCTTAGGCTCCCATTTTGAACTATTTTTGGGGTCTTTTGGTGGATTTCCTAATCCTTATATGGAGCCATTTGAACTCCCTCCACCCAAATGCAACTTGAAGTTCTTTCATTTATTTCATTTCAATTTGAGGTTAAAAAAAAAAAACAACGAAAAAAAAACCTGATATATCTTGCTTACATTTTTTGAGAACTTCCATTGGAGTCGGATAAGATTTTTTGTTATTGATCTTCTAGGCAGTTATGTTTTTATTATTATTCTTTTCCAGGGAGCAACTTTTGCAGAAGTTATTCAAATGACAGATATTTTTGAAGGTAGTATCATACGAGCCGCGAGAAGGCTCGATGAATTTCTAAACCAGGTAACAATACTCTACTGCTATGCTGTGAATTTAGTCAGTCCCCAAAATCAGTTTTTCACCCAATTGAATGCTCTTCGTACTTATATAAAGGGAAGTGCAAACTTTACCCCGTACAGCTTGCATAACTGAGATGTTAAAATGTAATGCCGGGAGCAAGTGGTGTGTGAGCCCTTTGGCCTTACAATATGAGGATAATTCTATAAACGGATATAAGCGACTTAACCTCAAATCTCCAGTGGTCACTGGAGTACTTAAAGAGATCTTACAATAATTTTCTTTTTTTCTACTTTTCTTCTTGTTTTATTCGTTTTCTCCCTGCAAAAGCCAACTGTTTGTTTTTTCCGATTTCTTAGTTGAAAGGTGCTGCGCATGCGGTTGGGGAAGTTGGTTTGGAGGAAAAGTTTGCTGCGGCGAGTGAAAGCCTTCGTCGAGGTATAATGTTTGCAAATTCGTTATATCTGTGAAGTGGTGATATGGTTGAGATTGACACGAACTGCCAGCATCTCAAAGCTCGCGTCACATCTAAAGGCCAGCGATCATGTTGTTTTACTTTTTTATTTTTCATGCTACATACGACACTTGATCCTTTTTTTTTTCGTCTTTATAATTTAGAAGTGATGAAAATTAGAAAGGGGCTTGTTTTGGGGGCAATGAGGAAGTAGAAGTTTTCTGTTAGATAGAAATTGCAGAATTTAATCATAATCACTGGACAAAATTATGCCCCATTAAAATTTATTCGATACCATTATAAACTTTTTGAAAAATGTCTGTTCATGGTGATTTTGTGGCGTGAAAGGCGACAGAGATATGTTATGGTTGGCACTAGACGTGGCCAAAGCTGGGGCCGGTTCACGGCCGGGCCGACGGGTCTAAAATTCTAGGCCCATAACTGGCCCGCCTAAATGAACTGGCCCGGCATGTCGGTTCTAAAAGAAAAAAAAAAATGAAATTAAAACCGTGACCCGTCGGAATACTCGGCTCAAAAGGGGTACAACATGACCCGTAGATCGGCTAGTTCAAAAACCGGCTAGGGCGGACCGGTTCTGGGCCGGTAACTCGTGGCCATGTTTAGTTGGCACCACTTGGAGCTTAATGTTTTCCTTTTCTTTTAGATCGATTACATTACATGAAATACTTCCAATAACTACTATTGCATTTTGTTGAGTGGGGTAATGTTGTCACAAAAGGCAACTTGCAAACTCACACGAATTAATGTAATCACAATTTAAAGATATTAAAATTAAACGGCTATGTATTTACTTAGTCATTTTTTGACGTAATTAAATTTTTCTTCCTAAATTTTGATTTCCCTAATTTTATTATTTATGTAGTTTTCGGAAGATGACAGTTACTTTTTTGTTTTTCCCTTTTAATTAAAAAATTTGATTTATTTAATTTTCTTATTTGTTTAATTTGGGAAGATGAAGCACACTTTTTATTTTTTAATTAAAAAAATGAATGTCTTTAATTAAAAAATTGATTTTCCAAATTTTTTTATTTATTTAGTTTTGGGTTTTTTCCTTTTTAATTTAAAAAAATGAGTAATTAAGTAATTAAAGTCTTGATATGGTTTTTTTTCTTTTTATCGTTAAATAAATTTATATTGTCAAAACGTAAAGTCATACAACCAAAGCGGCTTTCAAGAGCGTAGCAGGTAGCCACAAGTCGGCTCCTCACTCGCAAGAACAAAAATAACGAGGACAACCACAATTCGGTTGCTCACTCGCGTAACAAAATCGTCCAAGTGCAACTACACTTCACAACAACCAACTCAAAAATTACCGAGACACCTCTCGAATTCGGCCAAAACACTCGGGTAAATAGCAAAGATAGATCGATAGACATGAGTCTTTACCTTTCTAATCACGAGGCTTAGAGGTTGGCTTTCACTCTCAAAGATCAACTGGTTCCTCGCATTCCAAATAAAGTACACGGTTGCAAGCACCACTTTCTTCAATTTGGCTCTCCAAGACGTGCCTTTTCCTTCATTTTTGGTCCATTTAAGGGCGCCCTTGAGTGTTATTGGCCTATGTCGAAAGCTAAGCCAAGTTCGAATTTCACTCCATATTACCGAGCTAAAGGGGCATTCGAAGAAGAGGTGCTTCGAGGATTCGTTTTCGACTCCACAAAGGGGGCAAGTCGGGTCTTCATTGAGGAACTCAAGGCGATCTCTCGTTTGGAGTCTATTTATCACTCCAAGCCATAAGATGAATGAGTGCTTGGGGGTGTTGCAACTCCCCCAAACAACCCCGGTCCATGGCTTCTCGGTACCTTTAAGACGGAGGTAATCATAGCACTTGCTAGTACCATCTTGTTTATCACGAGAACTCAGAGTACGGAGAAGGCCTTCCGCACCACAAACACTACCCGCTTTCTCTATCAAGCCTTGTCGGACTTCAAAAAGAGATCTAAAGAGAGGGGAGTCATTCTTGGATACTTGTCAATCCCAAATTGTTTTCTCCTTTAAGTAGATGTTATGAATCCATTTGTACCATAGAGAGTCCTTCTTGGCTTGCATATTCCAAAGAGTCCTCATAAGGAGGGCTCAGTTCCAAGCATCCAAGTTCCGAAGCCCCAATCCTCCTTCCGATCAGGGCGTACAAAAAGTATCCCAAGCAACGGGGGATTTTTTGGAACCCCATAAATACCTCCTACAAAGTTGGATAATTTTGGTGCGAACAATTCCCGGCAAGTGGAAGATGCCCTCCAAAAGTAAGCAATGCCTTGAATGATCGATCTAATTAATTTCAATCTACCGGCATAAGAGAGGGTATGACTCCTCGACCCACTAAGTTGGCTGTCAATTTGATTAATCATTTGGTCAAATAGCCTCCCAGTGATTCGATCCGCGGTAAGGGGAACTCCAAGGTACCGGAATGGCATAGGCCCGCTCTTCAAATTAGTGTCATCAAGGATTGACTTCCGGTCTTGCTCTTTAACAACGGCCAAGTAGATATTGGACTTAAATTCATTTCGAGCCCCGATTTCGCCCCAAAGTCTCTTAAGAAATTCATGAGCACTTGGATTGACCCCGAGTTCCTCCGGGAGAGGAGCATGAGGTCATCGGCGAAGACTAAGTGGGATATTTTTAGCTTCTCACACATAAGATGGAATTTGAATTTCGGGCCATCCGCCGTGTTGCATTTGATGAGTCTAGAGAGGTATCCCATGCAAAGAACGAAAAGGAAATGAGAGAGCGGGTCACCTTGCCTTAGTCCGCGAGCACCTTTGAAATAGCCTTTAAGGCTTCCGTTGATGGATAGGGAGTATGTGGGTGTGGTGACGCACTCCATGATCCACTTGGAGAAAGCCGGTGGGAAGCCTAAGCCCTCAAGCATTTGCCTCAAGAAGGCCCACGAGACGGAGTCGAATGTTTTGCGGAGGTCGATCTTGATTAAGCATCTCGGGGATACTCTTTTCCTCAAATATTGTCGGAGTAATTGTTGCATGAGGTGGATATTGTCTGTCATATTCCTCCCCTTCAGAAACGCGGCTTGAGCTTCATCAACAATAGTATCAAGAACTTCAATAATTCTTCGAGCAAGGATTTTTGAGCAAATCTTGTAGACGGTATTGCAACACGCGATAGGCCAGAAGTCCGTTACTCGGGATGAGTGGGAGGACTTCGGGACTAGTGTGATGCCGATATGGTTCCATTGTTTTAGGATGGATCCAGAGCGAAAGAATTCTTGAATCGCCGCCACAACATCTTTGCCAACAACTTCCCAACTCTTTAAGAAAAATGTAGAAGTGTATCCATCGGGCCGGGGACTTACCTCCTTCAATGCCTCAAAGGGTGGACTTGATCTTCTCTTCGATTACCGGGGCAATTAGAGTGCTACATTGCTCGGGGCTAAGGATCGGCCCTGAACTTAGGATTTGCGGATCAACATCCTCCGTATCGACCCCGGTTCCCAAGAGAGCCTCGTAATATCGAGTGAATTCTTTTGTAACGTCCTCCATGAATTCGGTTAGAGTACCATCCTCTCGCGTGATAGATGCAATGTAGTTCCTTTTCGCTCTCTTCTTAACCAAGCTATGATAAAACTTTGTGCATTTGTCTCCTTTAATTTGAAAGTTGCATTTGACCTTTTGTTGAAAGAAGAGCTTTTCCGCTTTGGCCAAGTTGAGTCTTGATATGGTTTATCCAATGAATTCATGTAATATTTTTTTAACTTGCTTTATCATTTTTATTTTTTTAGAAAATTAATATACATACAAATAACGTAAATAAAAGATATGCATTGGAGATAGTTGTGTACTGTTATAATCTATAATGTCAACAGTCGTATTATAAAAATTATAATTCAATTAATTAGTGCCATATGACATGAATATATCAACATTGACATTCGAAGTTGCTCAAACGAAATCAAATTGATTAATATATGACTTGACATTCTATATAAATATACATACGTGAATAAAAGATATGCATAGGAAATAGTCGTGTACTGTTATAATCTATCATGTCAACAGTCTGTATTATAAAAAATATAATTCAATTAATTAGTGCCACATGACATGAATATATCAATATTGACATTCGAAGTTGCTCAAACAATATCAAATTGATTGAGATATGACTTGACATTCTATATTTCTACAATTAACAATCCATCGGAGATGCTCGTTCAATCATAAATTTACTTCATTTTCCATGCCTCCTTGTTAACAGCTGAACTAGTTTTCCCAATTTCACTCGCTTGCTTTTCTTCTTGATTCAAATCCCAAACAAAAACAGAAAAAAGAAGTAAGAAAAATAAGAGACATTAGAAAAAAGAAAAATATTTTTATGTACATATACTAAGATCTCCAGCAGGCAGCACCACCAGCGTAAACTACACTTCAACATTAAACTTACAATCACCTTACGTCAAAACATGAGAATACAAAAGGCTTTAAAAAGCTCATTCGAAACACAACACGTCTCCACGAAAAAATATCTTAACCACACAAGTTTTTACGCTGCTAAGGCATTGCCAAGATAAAGCTGGCTAATCGGAAAAAAGTTGCATCTCACGAGAGACAATGTCAAAGCCGATGAGGCTCCACAATGCTGACCTCGTCATCATCGGCATCGAGGTTAATGACCAAATCGGGATTCCATTTTTTAATTTTCCTTTTCTTTTTTGACGACCGTCTTTCGAAATCCTTACCGGGAGTCCCAAAAGCGCTCGGCAAGTCTGTGGTGGGACTACTTACCCATGTTATGGCTTTAGCTGCAGCAGTTCAAAAGAAATTGTATTATATGCTGATATGATTATGTTGTGTAAAAAACGAACGACATGTTTATGACAAAACATCAATACTCCATATGAGAATCGAAAGCAAATTTTTCCTGAGATGCATATCAGTATGAAAAAGTGAAAAATAACCTTAACTAAGAGGACTTGGGTCAAAAATGAATACATACATAGTATTAAAGGATCAATGGACAAGGACGCGAATAAACAAGTTAGCAGCTAAGAAGCAGGGAAAAGGAGGATCCTTATAATATTTCAGATGCAACGACATTTTATTAACCCTGCCTAAATTTAGTAGTTACTCAAATGCATGTTGAGAGAGTGTTTTTGGGACATAATTGAACATGACACGAGCTTATTTCAATGCATTAGGAACCAGCTTCAGAGAACACCAATAAAATTTCAAGGGTTTAATTACAAATAAAACTTTTCGGCAGGCCAATCACAAGATATCCCAGCTATGTTGTGGACACAAATGCTGCCTTTACCTTGATATGTTTCCATTTACAAACTGCAGCCATTTAAAGAGTTGTTTTGGCAAGAAGAAAACAATTTTTAATCAAACTTCGAGAAGGCCTTCTTATGACAATAAGGGGAGGGTATTTTGTGCTTTGTAAAGATGCCGTGCTTTCTGAGAACAAGCTAAACTTAGAAAATTTTGGTTGTAATTTTCACCGTCAAATTCAAACTACTTAGCTAGATCCATTTCCAAGGCTACATCTCAAAAGTGAAATCCTTTTAACACCAAATAGAAGCCATGTTTCTAGAGATAAGACTTTTCATGTAAGAAAAACTCAACCTCCGGTAAGCTAAATTGGGTCGTTTAAGTTTGATATACAAAGCCATTGGAATTGAGATTTAAATAAAATAAAAAAAAAAAAACAAGGTAGGTCACCTTCTGAAGGTGGAAAATATCCTGGCAATGCATATTCACAAGCATTGTTCACGGGTGAAGGACGAGCAGTAGGGCGCTTTCTCACATAGTTCTCTTGCAATGGCCTCGGGATTTGGAAAGAAAACTGAGACAAGTTCACCCCTTCATGCATGTATTTGGGGTGTTCATTTAGGTACCTTGAAAAGAGCATCAACAAAAACATAAGAATTATCCACCAACATTCTATACTAAATAAATACATAAAGCCAGCAAATTATGTTCTTGTTGTTCTCTCTTCTTTTGGAAGCAATATTGCAGGGGTAACAAAGAGGTTGTACTTTTGGATCTCCACCCTGGAACGAAGTGTCTTGCCTGAAGGTGAAACGTAATACCTGTGAAAGAAGCATGAGATGAGGTTATAGACAGGAGGCTCAATCTCTTTGTACCACAGTAATCAGGCATCGGTATACTTAACATGAAAGGTGTAAGTATTATATTGATGAGGTCGTAAAGAACTACAAGAGAAAATAATAGTAAAGAAAAATCAAGCTTCTTCATAAAGTTACAATTAGAAGTTATACCGTTAAAAATGGCAACCCACATTCTTTACATTCAACTTGAAAATTAAATCAAAGTTGATAGCGACAAAATTTTGGGGCTCGTATCATCAAATATAACACCAGTTATTACATCTAAGGAAATAAAAAAACAGGAGAGGGTTAAAGAACCACGCCTTTTTTAAAAATAAAAAAATAAAAAATTAAAAAAGATTATGTTTGAGGTAGTAAGGCTTTACGAAGAAAAAAGAAAGCTCAAAACCTCTTCTTTTCTTACAATATTTCTTTAATCTCATTTTAAGTTCATAACGAATAGTTAACAGACTCGTTATTATTTTACTAGCATATGATACTCCGAATTTGAGATACCACGCCACAGTTTTTTCAAGGATTGAACACTACAAGCACACTGTATTTTAAACCGCTAAAAGCATGCCTCCTCACACAGACACACAACATTGAGACACCCTAAAGCTATTTTACTGTCGGCGTGAGCTTCTATCAACACAGCACAGAATCTTAAAAGCTACTTCTGATGAAAAAGGCCAAAAAAAAATATAAAAAAAAATAATAACTAATAATAAATAAAAACGGAAATACATAGAGTACATACACATCCGCAAACTTGGTGCTCCCTTCTCCTCTGATTCTCAACAGCCTCTGCCAACCAGGAGGTGGCTGAGCAATGCTAGGTTTGTCGATGGCCCAAAGCCGACTGCCGTCTTGGGTTATATCAGGAGGATCCTCACACGATATATCGGGCTTCCACTCGCGGGCCATGTCGCACGTGAATGGCTGTTCTATGATGTGCTCTCTTATCTCCTCATACTTCTCCTTTGTTGGGATGAGCCTCCATTGGAAACATTCAGCGCACTGAACTGTGAAAGCCCCTATCGACGGCAGAACACGTTGAGTCTGATCTGAAAATGGATGCGGTCTGTGAAAAGGAGGTTGCTGATTAACTGATTCGAGCCCGTTGTCTGAGCTACTGGCCTCGTTGACTGATGGGTCATAGAGAACCAACTGATATTGGGAATTATCTGTACAAGGGTTTTCTTCATCTTCTGGGCTGTTATTTTGTTCCTGTTCTGTAGAATTAGTATGCGCCTGACTTTTAGAACATGCTAACAGGCTACTCTGGAGATTGGGACTACTTAAGGTGGTGTTGTGTTCGTGTTCATCAATGTTCGGGAGATCAGGGATAGTTGGGCGATTGGTGATGCTTTTATCTCCCTTGTACTTGATTGTGAGTTTTATCGACCTTGGAGGGGTAGCAGTCTCCATCTAAGCTCCTGTGGTGATGCTTCTATGCAATTTACCTTAGTACTAAGCTTCAAGAACCTGCAAAGATTTAAAAAAATGGTACATTTGACATTAAAAAGCTTAAGAAAATTGTCAAAAAAGAAATTTGGAATTCCGAGGGGATACATGCACACTTTAGATTAAGAATAAGCACAATGTTCTCTCTCCTCCTTCCTTAAATGAATTTCTCAACTGTGTGCATATTCGTATCTAATCTATACATGGCTTTGAAATGGAAACCGAGATAGAGGCTCTGTTCTTCTATATGCTTAGTGACCAACATACACTTAGTTCTAAAAACTAAAAGGTTAAATACAGCAAGACTAGAGATATTCAAAGTAAAACAAGTTTAAAAAACTAGAAACCATACAGTATATCCTAAAGGTCGAAAGTAAGTTATTTTGGTCCTCTGTTCTCACCACACTTATTTAGCATCATCATAGAGATTGTCCCCTATTATGCAATTTGATATTTTCTGGAACTGAAAAAACAACCGAGTAAGTTGTCAATTAGAGGATGAGAAAAAAATGCAAAAAGTGATGGAAACTACATATTTTTCCAACATAATAATTATATTCTTTTTCACGTTAACCACTAATGAGAATATGATTGAAGATATGAAAGCATTGTATTCCCCTAGCTCCAAGAACTGATGCCGGAAACATAAGTTCAAATCAATTAGTTGTTATAGAAATTAGCAAACATTTAAAGAAACGTTTCGTTATCGTTCCTTTACAAACCAAAGGAGCAAAGTTATGACGCCTAACTACCTACCATATTATGCCTTTTGGATTAGTAAAATAATCATAAATGATAATAGACATGAAAGGCAAGCAAGCCTTCTATGACAACCCGAGAGTCGAACCTTGTTAATAATTCCCTATACCACGATCACCTTGTACTTCAGTATACAGCTAAATATGCTCTTAGAGACTAAGATAACATATGGAAGCAGCACAACTTCATGACAAAATCCTTGACTGCACACGTCGATACGTAGATTAATCAATGTTTTCTTTTTCAGAAAATGATTAACAAATGTGTTAACACACTTCAGTCATAAATTAAATAATATCTTTCAAACATTGCTAAATTCAAGCACACAATCCACTTAATATCCAACCCATATTTCTTTGACTTCTCAGAACAAATCCAGTGTGTCCGACAAGAAATCTAGATAAAAATATATATATCAACAGGAAAAAAAAAAAAAAAAAAAAAAAAAAAAAAAAAAAAAACAAGCGAAACTAAAACACAAACCACATGAACATATCACAGCAAAGACCTATAAATTGCAAAAGAAAAGCCAGCCCACAAGCCACATTTTCAAGAAATAATAAAATAATTAAAAAGTGTTCAAAAAACCCACTTTTGAGCAAAGAAGTGAAATAGGCAGTGTATACTGCACAGTCGAAATAAAAATAACAAAAATATATACATAAGAGTATAACGAACAGACAGAATTTTCGAACAGATTAACTAATACGACATTAATAATGACGAAATAAACATGAAGGGCCGCTGAAAGTGATCAACTTTGAGCACAAGCACCAAAGATCTGAAAAAAAAAAGAAAAAAAAAAGTGATAGTGAGCGAGAGAATTACAGAACAATGATTCATGAAGATCCGAGATGATAATCGAGGAGAGACCCACAAATCTCCCTATGCTTCTCACTAAAAGCAAATGCGCAAGTTTGATTCTTCATTGACGAACAGTACGAAATGTTGCTGCAAATCTTTTCAATTCCTCGATCCTCGGGTTTGTGACTTTTGAGTGACAGATCAAAGGGTAGAGAGAGATTGAGAGATTGAGAGAGAGAGAGAGAGAGAGATAATTGGTGCTTTTTACACGCGACCCATCGAATGCGAACTTCTAAGAGCATCCACAATGCTTTGGTCTCTTTTTGCATATGTGGCAAATAAATAGACTTAAGTCCATAATGACATGGACAAACCTAAACTAAAAAAACCAAAATCTATCCAATGCAAAACAAAAAAATACTAAGTCTAGAATACATGACAACCAATAAAAATGCTCTAGTATATTTCATTTATTAAAAGAAAAATTAAATGAGGAATAAATGATGAGTGCTTGGGTTTGTACTTGGGTCTAAAATAAACCCAAGTGTGGACTAGGTCTCATTTTTTTATTGCCACATAAGCTAGACTATGTCCACTTTTAATTGCATTGGAGAACACTTTTTTATAGACTAGGTCTATTTCTTACATGGCATGTAACTTTTTTCTAAGAAACCCAAAGCATTGTGGGTGCTCTAAGTAACGTCTATAATGACGATATGGCCACTATAGTTCAGAGCTTTTGTGGAATGATAATGGTGAAAACACAGGATCTAAGCATAATCATGAAATGATATTTAATTGGACTATTATAAAATATATTCAAGACCCAATGAAAGATGTGGTGGTGCAGGTTATTTTTGTTTTTGGAATAAATTCTCCAATCTACACATTGCATAAATCTTTTTACTTTTTAGTTTACGCGCGCGCGTGTGTGATGCACGAGATGATATATTTTTCTAAAATTATTTTAATATTGAATGTTAAATTTAAGAAACTTGCTATATAGGTAACAAATGTAAACAGGTCGGATAAATGAAAAACAATCATAAATTAATTAATATTTTCATATAAAATATATTTTGGTTTGATTTGGTGGCGAGTCATTGTCAACACAGTTTATTAATTTAAATAAGTTTATAATATGAAAAGGATAATAATAGACTGGAAAAAAAAATATATATATATTTACCTCTTCATCATTGAATTTTTTTTTTCAACTACTTGGCTTTGATTTTCTTTCAAATATATGAACAAACTCAATGTCAAGTATAGCTTGTTTTTTGGAAAAACCGAATTTAAAAAACACTACACGAGTGGCATATTGATGTAGTCGGATTTTATAGTTTAGGATTGAAGAAAATGCTAAAAGATGTCGTAAAATGATTTGTGTAAGTGGGTACTTATATAGATGTCATAATTATCTGTGTTAGATATGATTCTAATTAAAAAAATAATTCAAGATTTGTGATGTTTTCATTCGGTCCGACTTATTTGAGATAAGATAATAATGAATCTTTTAAACGAGATATATTGTACTACTTGCTTCGATTTTTACTAACATAAAATGAGAAATATTCGAGTCCCTTATGAATTGTTTTAACTAGATTTCCTTAAAACTATGTAACAATTTTTTTTTTTTCAGAACGATAGAAATATTATATACAAATGTGCAAAATTACAGCCACAAGCTGAATATAAACAGCCAACAACTGAATACAAGCAGCCAACAAGGGAATAAACTGGGAGGACAGGTTTGTAACCCGCCTAGAACCGACCCCAACGGGAGAATACTCTAGAACCACAAACATAACACTATGACTCTAAAAACTCTCAAGGAGAGAATAAAAAACAGACAGAAACGACCCCAACATGGTAATGTCCGAGTGTACGGTCTCAAAAGGATAATCAAGTCACACTCGGGCTAACTGAGGCCAACGGCCCAAACCTAAAACTAGCACTGTCAAAACGGGCCATGGCCCGCGGGCTGGCCCGTCCGTCCGCCTAAATGGACGGGCTTGGGTCTTTGCTTGGCCAGCCTGTTCAATCGCGGGCTATTTGGCCCGCCCCGTTCGGCCCACGGTCTAAAGTGGGCTTGGGCGAGCTGGCCCGCGGTCCAGCCCGTTTTATTTTTTATTTTTTATTTATTTGTTAATTTTATAATATTTAAATTTAGTATTTCTTATTTTACTTCTAACTTCTAACTTACGTCGTTTTTTTTTTTTTTTT